GTACCAAAGAGCAAAATCAGCCATACGCGCACAGTGCACAAACGAAACAAAAGTAATGCTCGTCTATGGCGACTCAAAACTAAATAATAGTAACCAAGTTCGAATGCTCGAAGCCAAATCCAAATCACACTACAGACGAGTGGAAGGTGAGTCGCTCTCTAGCTGCATCAGGTTTAAGGCAAGAAGCGTTGAACTACTGGGCTCACTATTCATCAGGTATTGCTTTGAGTGGTAGTCTCATCTAATGACAGCATTCTGCAAAACAGCTCAGTAAATACCTTTCAAGAATTATACCGCAATCACTTATACAAACATCACTACGAAAAAGTGTGCTACTATTTCTTTAGGTTCCCTTTAAGGTCGGAACTTACAGCTCGGTTTGCAGTTCGACTGTGGAATAGATATATAAGTATTGACCATTCGATCTGCGATCGTGTAATCGCAGATCGATGCGTATCAACTCCACGAAAAGATGCAAGATTGCAAAATCGCAAGATCGCAAGGTGTGACCCGATCCTTACGAATCGAATTTCTCACTAAGCAGGGTTCACTTAAGAACTTTGTTCGTATTGAAGTGGCCTTGAATGAGAGGATGCCGATATAACGGCTTAGATGAGTGAAAAAAACGAGTATTAGAACCACCAGCAATGAAATCTGTAAAACAACAGCAAAGGTGGTCCAAACAAAAAACTGTGCAGATAACATGGGATTTGTAAGCATTTATTGACATCAACTAATCCGTCCGAAACGTTGATCATGCAGGTAGATTGTTGCTTTGGGATGCGTGGCCGTTCCTATTTCGCCTTGGTGATAGTGTAAAAGTTAATTACTTGGAAATCCATCAATGCATTACCGAAAAACTGGCACGACTTCTCTTCTACTCTCCAACATTTGAAGTTGTGCATAGTCCACCATCAGTGCGAATGTTTACAACTACGCCTCGCAGCAGATCTGCGTCGTCCATACTTGCAACGATTACGATTCCCCCGGAACTTACGGCAAGAAGGAAGGACTGCCTCCACATTTACCCGCGCTTGGAAACAGTGGGAGGTCTAACCGTAGATTTTCAAATTGCTGTATTGATCAGACATGGAAATGCCGTTATTTTGTATCCTAACGGAATCAACGAAAGGGCTTGCATAGGTGTGAGCCAACACAACTACTACAAAACTCTTTCGTCAACTCGTCTAAGACACATAGGCCACGACAGAATCCTTACCCAACGCAAAATTCTGTTCTTCTCGTCACGTCGCGGGTTCTCATTGGAGCACGACAGGTAACCAGGGTCACGTTGTTGAGTTTATGGAATGGCGATTCCGTTGAATACATAACCTTTTCCGTTTTCCACATCAAATGATATTCGGCTCAACGGGTAATCTCAATATTTTGAAACTTTGCAGGCGTTTTTTTTTTGGAAATTGGGACACTTAGGTTGTGTCCCCCCTGTGCGTTTAATTCGTGTGGCAGGCGTCCATTACCAGAACACAATTACTTCTATGACTGTGCATGCGATTTGGCCGTCTGAGCCTCTAGCCGTTGAGCGGCGAAGAGGGCAGTAGCGATGAGAGTTCCATAAATGCGGAAATCAACAGGCAAAGAAGCGACCTCATTCTCAGATTCTGGGCCATTTCTCATGGTTTTTCTTTATTCCTGCACTACTGTCCACCTCTACCTTGATTTCTGATGGGGCTGCATCTTCATCGTAAACGCCGACTTTGAATCATAAAAATTGCTCTCTTAAGCATCGCTCACGTGCCCAGAGAACGCCAAAAAAGCTGAATCAATTAGCCTTCCGGTTGACCGCTGCCCTTGGACGCAGTCGCTCATTCTTGTTTGAAAGATTCTTCAGACAAATGCACGATTGAAAATTGTTCGTTTTTCAATCACTGGGCGGATCGAACTAGCGGTGGATAAATTTGCTAATGGGTAACTTGCGCAACGCTCCATTATCGATTGCATAACCAGCATCCTACTTATCTATAAAGCGCTTCGTCTGTCGTCTGTCGTCTGTCGTTCTGTCTGTATGTCTGTCACGAAATTCCCTAGCTCCTCGGGATCCGCCTGGAGGGACCGGGTCAAGTGTGGGACGGGTGGCAAGGTCTCACGAAGTACAAAACACACATCAGCTAAGCGGAGCCCCGCCCACAGTGGGCGTGGCGTGCGTCGACATGAAGTGTACTGACGACCGAGATTTTCAATTCTCTTAGAAAACGAGCCTCGAAACTGGGCCAAAAAGTGGGTAAGGTGTGCATTGGTAAGTAACATCGAATTAGGGAGA